ATCTTTCTTCTATCATTGACAGTCCCTCTAGGTTGTGGGCTGCTTGCCTGTGTTCCTGAGAAGCATCTACGGTACCAGTCTATAGAGTGTGTTTTCTTTAGTGAATTACCGGTATGTTTACCGGTAATAAACTTGCACTGTTTTATGTATATGTTTGATTACATACAGCCTTGTGACAGTTTTCCTGCATGTCATAAGCATTTGAATATAAATTAAAATGTTAAAATCAAATCTGATATTGTTTTACCTTTTATTTGGTGTGTGGAAGGTGTGCGGAAGAGGGGTTAGTCTTATACGGCGAGTATATAACAAACTCTGTATTTTGAGTGGAAATGTTAGGGGGTCGTCTTATACGCCCAGTCGTCTTATACGCCGGCAAATACGGTACTCTAGCACTCACTGCAGGGGACTGTGAGCAGCTTCAGACCTTTTATCCTAGACTGTAAGTGACCTAAGGGCGGGGGCCTTAAGGGCGATCTGGCAAATGATGATGAACAAACAGTGTGTCTACTGAGCTAGTCAGGAGCATCGAGACCTACCTGCCAGCCATGCCAGCTCAGCAAGGAGCACGGACCCTCAAACATAGGGCTCTGTCCCTGCGCCTCAGCTGGGGTGCTTTGCTCCAGGGGAGCCTCCCGTTTTGCAGATGAGGACAGATGGCAGCACTGGGGCGAACCCTGCATCCTCCCTCCCTTCAGGCGCAAAAAAAGGTTAATTAACAGGATCACCAGGGTGGAACTGAGCATCAGGAGGAAAGCCCCTTGGGAATGCAGCAAGGCTGCCTCTTCAAAGAGCCTTCAGAATGAACCAGCCAGGCCTTTCTACAGAACCAGCCGCAGGGCAATACCATGTTATCTCAGCACAAAGAGGAAGACCCTTGCTCCGCTCCAGCCCTAACCCCCAGCCCTGCGGGCCTCTGCTGTCCTCAAAGCACACTGCAGAATGCACAGGCCTGCACACACCCCCTCCCCCCCTCCTCCATCAGTCCCAGCTGGAACCATGGGGCAGGGACTTAGGGCCTAAGACCTTTCCCAGATCAGACCTGGGGTCACTCTGCCCCTAGGGGGATGCTAAATGGAAAAAGGCCCAAGTCCCAAATGGATTTCACAGCTGGCCAGGTCACAGCCCCCACTACCGCCCCCCTCCCCCCCCACACGCTCTCAGGGACATTTCTCTCTAAAGGATGCCTTCTGAGGACACCCTTTCGGTACCCCATGCACACTTGGAGCTCGGAAACTAAAGTGCCCTTCCTACTTGAAGCAACTTTCTCTGATTAAACAAGCCATCTGCTTGCAAGCCCAGCTCACATTTTCAAAGTAGTGCCCCTGCCCAAATCCTCCTGGGACTAAAACCAAGCCTAACAGCCAAAACGTTCTAAGCGCTATAGACATAACAAGCCAATGACATCTCGTAAAAACTCTAGAGGTAGATACAGCTACTATCCCCATTTTACAGATGCAGAAACTGAGGCCACAGAAGTAGCCTGTGGTAGAGCCTGGATTTGAACTCAGCTCCAGTGTTCATGCTCTCCTGTCTCCCTAATGGATTTCATACCAGCCAGGACCACAGGCAAGGATGAATCACAGCCCTGGGCGCCATGGCTTTACCTCAGCATAAGCCATGGGGGCTTTTAAACTGACATTCATTTACCCCACAAAGGCCCCATGGAGGTAAAAAGCTGAGTGTTAAGATTCCTTATGGCTATTCCTAGACCTGCTACTATGTGACCATTTACCCTCCTGTTAGAACAACATAATAAACTACAGATTCCAGGGCAAAGGATGGCCGGTCATAGAGAAGGGAAAACACATATGGTCATGAGGTCAGACGGTAAATTCCTTGGATGATGAGGAAAGCTGGGCAGTGACCAGGAGACCCAGGATCACAAGGCTCTCTCTCCTGCGTAGGAGGACTGGAAAAGAATGTAGAGACGTAGCGAGGGAGAGATGAAGAGTGAAGGGGGCAACGAGAGCAAACAAGGCACACAGTCCGGTGCGGGCTGTGAGTAGACACCACTCGATAGTGACCTGAAAGAGACATCGCACTCAATTTGAGTGCAATCTGGTCTAAATGCCTGTTCCCAACCAGCACTGTGTGTCCTTCAGACTCACAGAGAGTAGCTGCCCACATGCCCCTGGGCAGAGCCAACCTTTTCTCCTTCTTCACTGAGCTTCACCTCATATTGTAAGATTCACCCCAAAGCCAAGATTAGCACTCAGGTCTTCCAACTCATCTTGAAGACCCTGTCTGCTGGAGAAGTGGGAGCCGAGAGGAGGCGACAAGCAGATGGCAGCCAGATGCCCGCGGCCACTGCATCCCATGGCACCAGGTCCCCAGTTCCTCCACCTGTTTCCCAGCTGTGACCGCTGCCATCTCTCAACATGATTCAATCCACTCAGTCATCAATCAGCAAATCAGTCTTCTAGAAAACTGGTATTTCACATCCCAGGCCTG